GGGTGTCTTCACCTTCACCCCACCCCTCCATTCTTCCCAGACTCAGCTTTGCTCCCAGTTTCTCTACCTCTTCCCCCTACAGAGGCACAGGGGATGAGGATTGAGATCAGTTTGTCACTTGTCCCTGCTGCTCATTCCTCAGGAGGAGGACTCCTCCTTGTATTCTTCCCTTGCTCCAATGTGGGGTCCCTCCCATGGGAGACAGTTCTACACGATCCTTCTCCGATACGAGTCCTTCCCATGGGCTGTAGCTCTTCCTGAGCTGATCCAGCCTGGGTCCCTCCTGTGTGTCACAGTTCTCCCAGTGTGGGCTTCCCTCAGAGTCACAGCATTCTTTGGGCACAGCCATCTGCTCTGACATGGGCTCCTCCCTGGGCTGCAGGTCGTCATCTGCTCCTCTGTGGAGCTCCACAAGCTGCAGGGGCACAGCCTAATCTCTCGCCACAGGCTGCAGGGCAATCTCTGCTCCAATGTGCCGTGCTCCCTAATGCGGCGGGCGGAGGAAGCAGCCGATTCAATGTGAATGATAGAGCAAGCTTCAACTTTATTGAGAGAAATCACACCTTATATAAGCAGTCTACAATACACTACCTGTAACTCTACTGGATACGTTTAAGAAACTACATTATAATATCTCAGCCATTGGGTACATCTAAAAAGTCACATTATAATACACCAGCCCCTTGTGGCATTTCTGGTATGCATAAACATCTTTCTTGCTGTGAACCTGCTTCTCTCCCAGGGCTGCTTCCCTTCACCCCCCAAGGTAGTAATGCGCCCCAACTTAACTCTGTGTTCTCACAACAATCCTCGTTATCATCAATGTACGCTGGGTTTTTTCCTCTGTTTACCTCAGGTGGCTGTGACCGACTTCTGCAGGGAGCTATGGCCGACCAGCTCCTGCAGGGAGCTATGGCCTTGCTCTCTGCAAGCTGTTCTCCAACACCCTAACTCCTTTCTTCCACTGACCTCTTTGCAGAGGTGTCTCATAACTCCTCCTCACCACTCCTACTCTTCCTCCCAGGCTTCTCTTCTTAAATACGTTATCACAGAGGTGCAGCCACCATCACTAACTGCTTTGGCCTTGGCCAGAGGTGGGTCTGACTTGAAGCCCTTTCCCTTGCTACCAAAACCCCTGTCACACACACACAAATGCAACATCCATGACCACAGCCAGCCATGTCCCTTTTCTCCTCTACAGCTGATAAGGATTGAAGTTTACTAGTGGAAGCACAGATCATATGACTACCACCACAGCTCTTCCGTCCATCTGATAACCCTGCCCTGTACCCTCAGCCCTCGGGTTCACTCCTACACACAAGCTGGTCCAGCTTCCTGCTCACAGGCAACCACATCTGCATGCACTGACACATTTACCCAACGGGTGCTCCACACTCACAGATCTCCCCAGACACCAGCATAAGCCTATGCCTGATACCCTGTGTGGACCCAGGGCCTACTACTCACCAGCCACCCACCTTGAAGTTTGTTAAAATGTTACATCCCCACTTCCAACACCTTTCCCTGGTGTTTGTGGGAGATGCAATAACTTCGGCTCCCCAGCAGGCAGCACCAGGCACATAGGCTTTGACCTGCAGTCCTGCTTTGTGTGCTGGTGCTGCAACTTGCTCACTTTACTCATCCCAGTTCCTCCAGTAGCTGCACTTGGGGCACGCATACTGGTCCTGTCCCAGTGGCTGGAGCTGAGACCCTCACTGTCACCTGTAACCTTTGCTTGCACCCTGACCCTAAACCACTCCCATAACTGCACAATTGAAGGGATCTGATCCAGAATTGTCCTAACTTGGTCAGCTTCCTAAATGTTGTGTGCATGTGTTGGCTCTTAGGTGAGGTGGTATCCACTTGGAGAGACCATCTCTGGAATTCTCCGAATCACCTAAATGGGAAGATGGAAGGTGACCCAGGCTCTTCACTGGGGAATTTTCATTTATGAGCTCAAAAGAAGCAATTCTGGAAGTTAAATGGCTCTGGTTTTGAGTCTTGGTTTTCTATACAGCTGGGAAGAGCAAAAGTCCTGTGGCTCCTCTCCCACAGCCCACACAGACCAGCAGCACCTCATTCCACCCACTGACTCCTTGAAGCCAGGAAAAAGCCTTCCACTGGAGAGGCCTGGCTCTGCTTCCTGGGCCGTTGGGTCCTCTGGGGTTGCTTGGTCCATGGCAGGGGTTTTCCCCACAGGTAGCTTTGTGGGAGTGAAAGCATGGAGAGGCCTTGGTCTCACGTTTTCCTGAGCAGCAGCTGCAGCCCAAGCTGTTGACAGCGGGACCCACAGACTCAGGAGAGGACAACCTCCAGCTCTCTCTGGCTTACCCTGGCACCAGGGACAATGCCCTCTTGAGGACAGCAGAAACAGCTCCTCTGGGGAAGGAGGTGTTCAGAAGGCTCTGTCTATTTGATTCCTGGGGCTTTAGAGCATCTCCCATGTTAGATGCATCACTCGGTAAACGCATGACAATTGTCATAGAACCCAGCCATGCCCCTACAAAGGTTTCTGTGCTGACAGAGAGGCTCTCCACCTCTCCACTGACTTTTTCTATGAGCAAGCTGAGCAGCTGGATCATCCTTCACTCCATCAGCTTTGACGCATTGTTGTCCTCACTGTGGTGTTCAAGCAGTCGCCAGGCTCTCCTTCACCTGTCCAGCTGGGCACCTCCAGCAGCACAGTGACAAGCGCAGGAGTGATGGGTACAGGGCTGGCTGGCCCAGTTAGAAAGAGTCTCTGACCTCCAGCCTGCCTCAGCCTGTGGCCTCTCACTGTTAGCTTCTCTACCTTTGTTTCAGGTACTACCACTGACTTGCACCTGGAGCCGCAGGTGGGCAGGGATCAGCCACTGCCGAGTTTTGCGTTGCTCGGCTCCACTGCAAACCTTCCAAGCGCCATTTTGCAGTCACCGCGATGGAAATCACCCATTATAAATAAATTTGTCCCTTCTTGGTAGCGAGGTTTCGTGACCACACGGAGCTGGTTTACCTGCGAGCTGCCACCAGATGGCAAAATACTGCCCAGCATCGCTCCCCAGCTTGCTTGCCGTTACCGCAGGCTGTGAAGGGCTGCAAGGAAGCCGCAGCACCGGCTGTTTCTCTTCCCTAGGTTTGGCTGCTGCTGGACGTGTCCAGGGGTGTCTCTCCAACAGCCTCCAGAGGACCGAGACCTCCCCGTTGCCTTTAGTCCCTGGAAGCCCAAGGCAGAGCCCACAACAGAGATGAAATGCCAGAGAATGTCCCTGCTGCTGACTAGGACCTTGCACAGAGATGGCAAGTAGGCAGAAAGAGAACTTCGGTTTTTTTACGGTATGGTCCTTAGCTAGCTGAGAAAACCATGTGATATTTCTGCAGATATTAAGAGAACTGAGAGTCTCAAGACCTTTTTTCTTCTCTGCCCTGCCCTGCCTATTCTCCCTCTTCCTTCTTCTGTGTTGCTGTCATAGCACCATGCCGGAGTTAGTGTTAAGGGTCTAAGAAACATCCTCAGCTCCACATCCTGGTGTTTGCCTGAAGCCATGTCAGGATGATGGCAGCAGCAATAAGCAACTTTTTTTTTTTCTCCCAGGTAATGTGGGAGTGGGATAAAAGCCCCTGTAGAAGTTGGGAAATATCGAGTCTAGTGGTGAGGACAAAGCTTGCAGCTTCTGTCTCTTGGGCTCATCCTTCTGCTTGCCTCCGCCACTTGCCCAGTAAACAGTAGCTCTTTGAGGAAAGCAAGAATTAAAATCATGTGCATCCTGAGGTATTGAAACTGTCACCTCAGCAGGAAGTCTCTGTGCTGTGCCACTAAAATCATCATAAAACAGACTGGAGAAGCCCTGGTAACCAGAGAAATCTCAGAAACTTGAGGTTTAGATTCAGCTCATTTTCCCACACTGGAGTAAATCTGCCCAGAAGTTATGCATTGTCTTGAAGACATGCCATAAGGATTATTCTCCAGGATAAAGCTCCTGAGACATGTATTGAAAGTATTTTAAGATCTCTAGTAGATTAATGTAGTCATTAGAAATAAGGGAATATAAGCTCAGCATTTTGTCAACATCAGTATTAAAAATTTACTTCCTATGAAGTTTTAACATCAGTTTTCTCATTTCTTAAAATACTGATCTACGTCTCGCCGAAGAAGCTGTCTCTGAAGCTGCTCACTTACAGTATTATCACCTATGTCATACGTTCCACCTCCCCTCCCCTTTCCAATTCTCTGTTCAGCCTGTCCTCATGTGCTTGCTTATGGAAGTCAAGAAGCACATGCAAACCTCCTCAACTTGCTTTTGGGATCATGCAAGTAGGATTTGTACTCAGTGTTCAGCATCAATTATCCTCTCCTTGCCCACAAAGATGCAGTGCAGAAAGCATAAAGCATGTGTTTCCTGTCACATTCAAAATGGTACAACAAATAACTATGTTTAGGCAGCATTACCCATTCAGATGAGATCCCCAGAGATGGCTATTTTGCCAAGCTATCATCCCTAAAGGAATATATTCATAATGGTGATCACACACACACACACACACACACACCCCTCAGATCTTTTTGTTGTTGTTGTTGTTTAATCCTTTTTAATAAAGCATAGCTTATTTATCAGAGCAAGGCTGGTTTGTTAGTCCTGAAGTGGTTTGTTTGTTTGTTTAGATTTCAGAGGGTTGTTTGGAAAAATTGTGATCAGCATGCTTTTGATTAACATAGCTAAGAGGACTTTCGTTTAATGAAATGATTAATTGATTCAACCAGGTATGCAGCCACACTAACAGCTGCTTCAACAGATACAAAAGATGCTCCCTCAAATATGACCTTGCCTCACTACCATGAGGCAGTACCCATGGATACATGTTAATTATAAGGTTGATAAGATA